CCCGGCCTTTTTTTTTTTTTTAAGAGTCAGTTGCGTTGAATCAGGATCAAATAAAACTTTTAGTTGATTACTAATTATTTTAATTTGTAAGTCTCTCCCCCTCTTTTTTATTCCTTTTTTTTTTTTTTTTGAGACAGGGTTTCTCGACTCTGCTGCCCAGACTAGGAATGCAGGTGGCCACAATCCACCAGGTCACTGCAGCCAGTGACCTGGGGCTCAACTGATCCTCCCACCTCAGCGTCCGAGTAGCTGCAACTACAGACACACCACGCACTGCCCAGCTAATTGTAATTTTGTAAGGACATGGATTTTACCATGTTGGTTCGTATGGATGTCGTCGAACTCTTGGACTCCAATGCCTTGCCTCCCAAGAGTGACTGGTTCTCATTGACCACCTGTGGCCTTCCCAGATACCTGCCCCAATTTATTGTTAAGGGAATGAGTGTTTGTCGTTAATTTTCTCATTCACCCTTTGCTGACTATCTACCCGGGGAATGTACTCGATTACGGCCTATTTGTGTCCTTATTTTTTCGTATACTTAGCTAACCATTTTCCGCGCGCCCCATACATGCCACAGTTCCAGGTTTTATAATCTGTCCTAAATGGCTTCATACTATTCGCACCAGTGACTATACTGTAATTTTTTTATCTGGGCATTGTTGCTTCACGTTATTCACACTATAAATATTGCTGGAATGAAACATCCTGAAGCATTGACGCACGCAGCATCCGATGACTACCTTAGAATAGCTTACCAGAAGTCGTAATTTTATGGCTCATGATCAGCATGGAGAATCCAGCTCTTGGCACACAGTGACAATTGTGTGTATAGTCTCTGTTGGTTTGTGTGCTCCCAGCACCAAATAAGATATGTGGTCACTCGTCTGAGGTAGTGCTTAGGGCTATAGTTATAGAGTACGTTTGAGAGACATTATATTTTGAGAAAGGTTTGATGATCATTGCCGACGAATAAAGCAGAAAGTGATCGTGCAATTTACCATCATACGTCTACGAGTCAGAAACCATCGCATGTGAGACAACAAAAAAAATCCGTGATAACAGAATGATTAAGAGCGGGTGCCCAGTTGAATCTTCTGTTAGAGCTTGTTATCTCATGTTCGGGTGACTGCAGTCTGGGTCCACTGAACCGTGAAAGAGCATCTGTCCAGGAAACTTGCGACCTCGAAACCTCAGGAGGGCTCGATTCTATACTTTGATGTGGGATTGAAAGTTAATCCCAGAGAAAAATCAAAGGAAGGAAGTGCAGCATCACTCACGGAAATATTACAGTGGCACCCTTTCTTTGCCTTAATGCCTGCCCCCTAATCCTTGCGGGAGGTTGCTGTGAACGAGAGATGCACTGGGTTTGTTATCGCTGCAGAAAGAATTGCTCTATTAACACGCCAATATATACGATGCATACGTCTCGCTCAGAGACACAGCAGAGCATATCTATGTATTAGCCAGTGCTGATATTTCGATGAATGAGCCCGCCATTGAGCCCTGGAAATATTTCACAGTAAGTCGCTTCGGCTTCGTGTGTCCTCGCGAGCGTCCAAAAAGAAAAAAAAAAAAGAAAGAAATTTGCCTGTTGGGCATTAAATCAAATTGCAGCAGAAGGAGGTGAGCTAATCTTCCCTCATTCAGGTGTTAGAGGAGTGAATTATATTCTCCATCCAAAAGAGTAAACCTCTACAGCCACTGCAAAGCTCGGGTACACCAGAGTCAGGGTCTCCAGACCCTAGAGAAGACCAGATAAACACTAGTCAATTCATGCCCTTGGGCCCTGTTTATAGCTGTCCTCAGATCCCCTTCTTTCATGTGCTCTTTCTTTTTTTTTTTTTTTTTAAAGTCAGTTTGCTTGAATCAGGATCCAAATAAAACTTTTAGTTGATATCACTTAATTTATTTTAATTTGTAAGTCTCTCCCCCTCTTTTTTATTCCTTTTTTTTTTTTTTTTTTGAGACAGGGTCTCACTCTGCTGCCCAGACTAGAATGCAGTGGCACAATCACAGGTCACTGCAGCCTTGACCTCCCGGGCTCAACTGATCCTCCCACCTCAGCGTCCTGAGTAGCTGCAACTACAGACACACCACCATGCCCAGCTAATTTTTGTATTTTTTGTAGACATGGGATTTTACCATGTTGTCTAGGATGGTCTCGAACTCCTGGACTCAAGCCTTGGCCTCCCAAAGTACTGGGATTACAGGCGTGAGTCACCATACCTGGCCCCAATTTTATTTGTTAAGGGAATTGAGTGTTTGTCTTAATTTTCTTCATTCTAGACTTTGCTGACTATATCCCTGGGGAATGTATCTTATGCTATTTTGTGTCCTTATTTTTTCATATAACTTAGCAAACATTTCCCCATACTGCCACAGGGTTTTTATAATCTGTCCTAAATGGCTTCATACTATTCCATCCAGTGGATATACTGTAATTTTTTTCTTGGGCATTTGGTTGCTTTCAGTTTTTCACTACTATAAATATTGCTGGAATGAACATCCTGACACATTGCAGCTTTTCCTGTACATGGGATGACTTCCTTAGAATATGCTACCAGAAGTGTAATTATGGCTGTGAGGCATGGAGAATTTTTCAGCTTCTTGGCACACAGTGACAATTGTTTGTCCAAGGGTTTGTGTGTCCCCCAGCACCAAATAAGAGAGCTGTCACTCACTCTGAGTAGTGCTTAGGGCTATTCACAGTTGAAGAACGTTTGGGGAAGACATGGTAATTATGAGGGCAGATTTAGAGAAGGAGAAAGATGATGACAGGGACTCCGGCTAAATAAAGCAGAAAGTGATCTGCAATTTACCACAAACCTAGAATGAGTCAGAACTCTGTTCATTCCTATTGTGAAAAAAAAAAAAAAAAAAATCCTTGATAACAGGGATTATTAATAGTGCATGACATGTCCAGTAATCTTTCTGTTAGACTCTGCATTAGTCAGAACCTCATTTGAGACGTGGACTCAGTCTGGGTCACTGAACTTCATAGAGATGTCAGGAAACTGACCAAGACCCAGAGGGCTCGATCAACTTGATGGAGGATGAAGAATCCCAGAGAAAAATCAAAGGAGTCAAGCAGGCTCACTTCGGAAAAAACAGGCACCTTTCTTGCCTTAATGCGGGGGAGGTTTCTGTGAAAAGAACAACACTGGGTTTGCTTATGTCTGCAGAAAGATGCCTATAAGGAAAGGCACCTCCACAAACCAGGAGAAACTTCCATAGAACACAGGCAGAGCTATTTCAGACTCGGGTGATTATTTCGATCTTGGGATGAGCCCTTTTGGGGCCATTGGCCCTGGAAATATTCAAGAAGCTGCCTGTTCTGCTCTGGGTGGTTCAAATACCCACCTGCCTGGTGACCACCAAGTGTCTCTGGGGGTCCCACTCCAGCTGTGTGACAACTGTTTCCTGGCAGCTCCCTGGGGAAGGAAGGGTAGGTGGAGTCCGAGTGAAGTGCTCCTCAGTTTCCCTGGGCTAGCCTTTTCCTTCCTGTTCCCTCACTTTCAGTTCAGGGTGCCATGAACTGCCATTCAGAGTCAGGTTGGCATGCCATGACATCATCTGATCTTGCTATTCCAGCCCTGCCCTGCACAGAGTGGACTTAGAAAGAAGCTGGGTAGGGAGTTGAAACTACTCAGACAAGGCCTCTTGGTGATATGGAGAATGGGAGTCACCGAGGAGACCTCAACAGCAACCTCCTAAAGTAATATTAAGTAGATTCATACAATGCAACAGGTGCTTTACATACATTTTTTTGGGTTCCCACAACATTGGAGGTGGGGTTTCACAGGTGTGGAATTGGAGATTAAGACAAGTAATTTGCCCAAGGTCACATTGCCAATAAAGGAGGGCCTGCCCTATGTCTATCAGGCAGTAAAGTCTATGCCCTTGCCTTTAGACGATGCAGATGTGAAAACTGTAGACCAGAACCTCTCATTCAAAGCCACACAAGCTGACCTGAGACAGAAACTCAGGCTCCTTACTACTGATCAAGGAATCTATGATACGTGGCTTCTTCTCACGTCAGGTGCAGGGAGGCCAAGGAAGTGGCCCGGTCCAGAGCAGCCTGGGCCAAGAGTTACTGAGAAGGAGAAGGCAGGCTCCGTTCTGGGCCCTCCAGACCCTCACCCCAGCCAATGTTGTGAAAAGCGCGCTCCCAGGAGGGCCCAGCAGGGCAAAGGGCCAGGCTAGTCTGTTTCTGGAGGAGCCAATCTGGGGCCAGGGCGGAGGCAGCCAGGTGCAGTGGAAAAACCCTGTACTTGGGGTCAGAATATCTGGGTTTCGATCCAGTCTGGGACCCAGCAAAGACCTACAGCAAGTTACTTACAAGTCCGAGTCTCCTCATCTGCAAAACTGGGGCACAGATAAAATACACTTGAAGGGCACAGGAGCAAAAGTTGGAATTGTTACGCACCAAAATTCTATCATCCGATCTGACCACGTCACGGTGCAACTTCCAACCGCGCGTCCCCGGAGAGTCCGGGAACGGAGCCCAGGAAAAACTACAACTCCCAGGAGCGTCGGGCGGGCCGGCCGGGAACCAGCAGAGGAAACTACAACTCCCAGGAGGCGTCGGGCGTGCCGGCGCGGGGCGGTGACGTCGCGGGGGCCGGCGCGGAGCGCTGATTCGGCCGGAGCTGCCAGCGGGGAGGCTGCCGCCGCGGGTTGTTACAGCTGCTGGAGCAGCAGCGGAGCCCGCTCCCGGGAACCGTTCCCGGGCCCTCGATATCCGGCCCCGCACGGTGAGCCCAGACGGAATCAGGAGGCCCCAGGGCTAGGGGAGGGGCGGGAGGGAAGGTAGGAGCTGCTGGGGAGTCGCCCCGGGCTGGATAGACGGGGGCAGAGGGAGTGGGGGGTGGAGGGAGTGCATCAGCCGAGGGGGTGCAGCGGCTGGGGAGGTGGCCAAGGAATAAAGTGCGAGCTGGAGGCCGGGGGTGGAACGTCGGGAGGAGCGCCTCGGCTAGGGGTGGGAGGCGGGGAGCGGCTGGGCTTCTGGGATAAACGTTTGGCTGCCTCCAGGGCTGGGTGAACGCGTGGAGATGGCTGTGGGGTCCCGGACCTGGCCGGGTTCCGAGTGCCAGGACCCAGACTGGGCAACAGAGCGGGACCCCTCCCCCCGGCCCCGCGCCCGAGGTCTCACTCAGAAAACCTCAACAACAGTGAGGACTCCGCCTCTTCGCTCCTCCTCTCCTCTGCTTACTGCGGGTTCGCCTGGGCACTCGCTTTCCGCTCCCACCGCCCTCCCCCAGTCGGGGTGGCTGGGCCAAAGTTGAGATGTGATCAGCTGTGGTCCTGCAGCTTGGGGGGTGGGCGGAATGGAAGTGGCATCGTGACGTGCTGCCACGGACTCCCCTTTGAGGTCCCCATCCAGGCCCGGATGTTTTGTGCTCCTCTTCCAAGACAGGGGGTTTGCTGTTGTGAGGGCTGCTCTTTCCTGGGGGAGGGAATGGGAAGGGCTCACCTGGTGGCTGCCCTGGTGGTGCTCAGCCTTGGCTTGAGTGTCTGGCATACTGGCTGGGCCCGAATATTTGTGCGTGGAGCCAAGCGGGTGGGGAGGGAAGAAGGGGGAAAGAGCTACCAGCAAAAAAGTGGTTAACAGAACAGAGTTGCTGCAGGCTCTGGTTTGAGGCAGGTTATGAAACCACATCAGGGCCCGGCACTAAGCAGCCACCTGCCAGCTGTGGCAGCAGAAGTTTTTAGCTCAGCTCCTGTAGACCTAGTCGACCTGTGCCAGCCTCTTCTCTCTGTTTCTCCCCATCTAGGGGAAGGGTCGGTTGGTTGGTTTACTAATGAAAGTGATATGTGCCCGTAGTCACACGAAAGTCTCAAGAGTGTTTCCTGGCTGCCAGTCTTTTTGTTAGTTTATTGATCTCTTCTTTTTCAGGGGTGTCTGGTGGTTTCCTGCTCTCAGGGTACCTAGTGTTTAGGCTTCAGGAAGAAGCTTTCGGGGGTGTCGGCTGGGACCTAGGTCTAGTCTTTTCCTAGGCTCATCGAGTTTTGTTGGCTGCCCTGTGAAAGCCAGAAAGGGGTATGGGGTCCTGTGGTCTGGGATTCCACGAGGCTTTTGGCACTCTTGGACAACTACTAGGAAGGGTTAGTGGACTTTCTACACCAGCACCTCTGTAGGTGCGGGTTACAGAGAGGCGATGGGGTGGCGGTTTCAGGTCAGACTTGGGACGCTGTTTCCCTCTTCTTAGAGGTAAGTCCTTCAGAGCCCTCACTTCTCAGCCACATGCCACCCTCTCGTATCAGGTGAAGGCTTTTGCGTAGTAGCTGTCCCAGGGGCTGCTAGAGTAGCTAAAGCCCCAAGGCCCTGGGAAGATAAACAGTGGGAGCCAGCTCTGGCTTTCTAGATGCTAGGATTTCTGTTAGGCTCCATTATCCAGCCTCATGGGCTGCACTGATGGGTCCCAGGAGCATCACTGCAATCAGAGTGTGCCCCAGGCTGGCGCACAGGTATTTGCTTGTTGGGATGGTGTGTTGTGGGTCACGTTTGCCCTGAGGTCTCTAAGCTTGGAGCTGTCTGAGAAGAGGAAACTTGCTCCTCTTATCCTGGAAGTAAAGAACTGGCCCCTGAGGATTCAGGCTCCTGTGCAGGTTTGGCTAGTTCCTAGTCAGAAGTAGATAGCATTTGGGTCTGAGGGGGTTGCTGCAGGGGCGTGAGGCAGGCGGCCTTCTGGGTACTTCTAGAATATCTCTATCTGGGAGTCTTCTCTGCATTCCCAGGAAGGATGGGGCTGTTAACATGGTGATGATCTTATGGTCTTTAGCAAGCAGGACCCTACCTCAGATAGAGAGGTGAGCCAGTACACAGGTGCCATCTGTCTCCGCTTTCTCCTGGTCACAGGGCCCTCAGGGATCTGGGGACAGCCAAGCTCTGGACAAGGGGCAGATCGTTCCACCCCTTCCTTCTCTACTTCCCTCTGCTCACTGTGGGTTGCGGCCACCTCCTGGTTCCTCCTGCTGCAGGACTCCCACCGTTGGTGCTGGGCAGGGGAAGGCATGGTGCTAATGTACACCTGGAAACAGGTGCTGAGAGGGGAGACTGAGGTGAGGATGAGCAGGACAGAGAAGACCGGGGCCAGGAGGAAGACCACAGGTTCGAGTCTGTGCCCTTGGGAGACATATGTTGATGTGGGTTCCAGCTCTCTGTGGGAGTTATAGGTGTTGGCCACATTCTCTATCCTCGCCTCTCTTGTGGGGAAAAGGACCCTGGTGGTTTGGCAGCGGAGTGGGTGGCACCACAAGGGTTGGCCTGAGTGGCTGCCAAATGGAGAAAACATCCAGATGGGTTATTTTGTGTCACCCAGGAGGGGTGCCTTCCAGGTCTGGGCAAAGGTTGTCGCTAGTCTGTTGTTTTCTTCTATGTTCCTCCCTCCCCACTTCCCTCTTTGTACCTGATCAGTCCTCCTAAGTTGGGGTTTGGGGAGATCCAGAATTGAAAAAATTAGAGGAGGTGAGTGGATGCAGTGACCTCAAAATAGTTCATCCACTGCTGCCTGTACCCACAGGCCTCACTTCTTTCCCTCCTGATGGGAAGGGCTTAAGAGTGGATGTCCCACATCAGGCCCTCAGTGAGACACAGTCCAGCAGGGGTTGTGCTGAGTGAGAATTCTGTCTCTGGGGCTTTGTCGGCACAGGGTCCTCATGGGAGTGCCATAGCGGGTGAGGCTGGGGGATGGGCCTTGACTTCTCTGCTCTGGGGCTGCATGCCTCTTGATGACCTGTCGTCCGATGCCCTGCCAGGGCCCTGTCCCAATGGGATAATGCGTGGGGCAGCCTGCTGTTTATCCCAGCCCAGCAGCAGGAAATGCGTAGAGCTAAGTCCACATGGACTTTCTCCACCTTCCATGCTTGAGAATCAAAAGAGTGGAACTGCCTGGAGTTCTCAGGGAAGGAAGAGCCTGCCTCCCAGTGGGATCCGAGGGTGAGAGGGGGCAGGGAAAGCAGTGTGACCTGTCTGACCTGTGCTGCTTGTTTGCAGAACAGTGGAGAGGGGCAGCAGGATGAATGTGGGCACAGCGCACAGCGAGGTGAACCCCAACACGCGGGTGATGAACAGCCGCGGCATCTGGCTCTCCTACGTGCTGGCCATCGGTCTCCTCCACGTTGTGCTGCTGAGCATCCCCTTCGTGAGTGTGCCTGTCGTCTGGACCCTCACCAACCTCATCCACAACATGGTGAGAGCCTGCCTGCTGCCTGCTCCTGCCCTCTGGGCTGCTCTTTGGCAGGGCTGAGGGATAGGAGGAGCCTGTTGGGCCTGGCCCAGATGTCAGGGTGACGTACTGACGTCTGCCTCCAGAGCCCAGGCCTAGTCCTTATCTCTCTGCCTTGCTCCCCCTTCTGGGTTCCTGCCCTGTGTACCATGATAGGAATCAAATCTGCAGATTTTTCCACATCTCTCTGGTGGGGTGGCTGTGGGCCTGGAAGATGTGCCCCTGAGAGCTAAACAAAGGACTCCAGAGAGTTCCTAGGACCCGGGAGTCCTGGTGCCTAGGCTGGTACAGAAATGCCCCTTTCTCAAGTTAGCTTCTCGAACCGTCTTCTACTCTTGCCCTTCTCTGCTCCCTCACCACTTGCTACCTTGCCCTCTTTGGAGGGTAAGCAGGGTTTAGTCCCATCTGCTTGCCTCCTCCCAGCAGGCACAGGGGGCTATGAGTGGCCTGGAGGGGCAGCATCTCGGTGCCTGTCTCGTGGCTACGCATTCTCATGCCAGGCCTAGCCTGTCCCCCAGGGAGTCCCCTTGTTCTTCTCCTGCCAGGCTCCCTGCTTCTTCCTGACCTCCAGCCCATATCCCCCTGCCCAGCAGAGGGAGGCTCCAGATCACTGGGAGTTACTTCTGTCTGTGACTGGGTGGAGGAACTGGGCAGGGGGGCCTTTTCCCTTTTGTATCCTCTAACAAAGACCTCGTCCTCCAGGGCATGTATATCTTCCTGCACACGGTGAAGGGGACACCCTTTGAGACCCCGGACCAGGGCAAGGCGAGGCTGCTAACCCACTGGGAGCAGATGGACTATGGGGTCCAGTTCACAGCCTCTCGGAAGTTCCTGACCATCACACCCATCGTGTTGTGAGTGCCTGGGCTACAGGAAGACACCAGCAGGCAGGGCAAGGCCTAGAGGACCCCAGGGCCCAGTCATGCTTATTAACCCTGCTGTGGCTCCTGGTGTAGGGATGAACAGAGGAAGTTGGAATATTCCTGGGTCTTAGACTGAGCTCAGGCTTTGGGCCTCCCTGGCCCCGTCTTTCCTCCATTGGAGCTTTCTTCCTGCTAGTGAGATAGGCCCACAGGCTTGGGGTGAAGTTGGGAGGTGGGGGCCCCGCTGGGCCGGGAGGGGCCTCTTTAGCCTGAGAGCTCTTGCTTCTTACTCTGGTCTGGGGACCTCTTCTGTAACTCCTTAGCCGTCAGGATTCTGCCTTTCCCTACACAGGAAGTGAGGGAGGAAGGGGTCCCCCCAACAGTCTTTTATCTCTCTCCTCACCCTTCCCCTCCCAGGTACTTCCTCACCAGCTTCTACACTAAGTACGACCAGATCCATTTCGTCCTCAACACTGTGTCTCTGATGAGCGTGCTCATCCCCAAGCTGCCCCAGCTCCACGGAGTCCGGATTTTTGGAATCAATAAGTACTGAGGGTGCAGCCCCTTCCCCTGCCCAGGGTGGCAGGGGAGGGGTAGGGTAAAAGGCATGTGCTGCGACACTGAAGACAGAAAGAAGAAGCCTCTGGACACTGCCAGAGATGGGGGTTGAGCCTCTGGGCCTAGTTTCCCCCCTGGCTTCCCCCAGTAGCCAACTTGGAGTAGCTTGTAGTGGGGTTGGGGTAGGCCCCCCGGGCTCTGACTTTTTCTGAAGTTTTTGATCTTTTCCTTTTGCTTTTTGAATAGAGACTCCATGGAGGTGGTCATGGAATGGGCTTGGCTCCTGGGCTGAACATGGACCACGCAGTTGGGACAGGAGGCCAGGGGAAAACCCCCTGCTCACTTGTTTGCCCTCAGGCAGCCAAAGCACTTTAACCCCTGTGAAGGGAGCAGAGGGCGGTACGGCTTCTGGATTGTGTCACTGTGATTCCTAGGTTTTTTCGATGACACGCAGTGTGTGCTTTTGTGTATGGAAGCAAGTGTGGGATGGGGCCTTGCCCTTCTGGGTAGAGAGCTGTCTGATCCAAGTCTCAGGCTTTTGGCAGCTTCCCTGCAGCGCACCCGGGGCCCTGGGTGGGAGTGGGGAGCGTCAGGTGGGGGGAGATGGGGTGGAGTGTGGATGGCTTGGTCCCAGAGGTGAGGGGCCAGGATTGCTGCCATCCTGGCCTGGTGGAGGTTGGGGAACTGTAGGGGGTTAATGAGTCGAGACTTAGAAGAATGGGGCCACATAGCAGCAGAGGACTGGTGTAAGGGAGGGAGGGGTAGGGACACAAGCTAGACCCAGTCTCCTTTGGGATGTGGGCAGGGAGGGAAGCAGGCTTGGAGGGTTGATTTACCCACAGAATGTGATAGTAATAGGGGAGGGAGGCTGCTGTGGGCTTAACTCCTGGGTTGGCTGTTGGGTGGACAGGTGGGGAAAAGGCCCATGAGTCGTTGTAAGCACAGGTCCAACTTGGCCCTGACTCCCGCAGGGGTACGGGGAAGCTGCGACAGAAACAATGGATGCTGTGGTCCTCTGCAGGCCCTCACCCCTTAGCTTCCTCATGCAGACTGGCACTGGGCAGGGCCTCTTATGTGGCAGGCACATGTGGCGCTGTGAGGCCACCCCACGTGGGGTCGGTGGTGAGAGTCCTGTAGGATCCCTGCTCAAGCAGCGCAGAGGAAGGAGCAAGGCGTGGCCTGTAGGCACTGTCTCAGCCTGCAGAGAAGAAAGTGAGGGCGGGAGCCTGAGCCTGGGCCGGGGCCTCCTCCCTCCCCAGTTCGACTAGGGACAGTGTTAATTTTGAAAAGGCGTGGGTCCCTGTGTCCTCTTCCAGGGGCCTGAGGGAGCAGGAGAGGTCACTGGGCCTGTTTTCTGCCTCCTGGCCCTGCATCTCCCACCCCATGTATCATAGGGAACTTTCACCTTAAAATCTTTCTAAGCAAAGTGTGAATAGGATTTTTACTCCCTTTGTACAGTATTCTGAGAAACGCAAATAAAAGGGCAACATGTTCCTGTTTCCCTGTGTCTGGCCTCTGCTTCCTGGAAGGCTGAGGGAGGGGGCAGGGGTGTGGGCACAGCTCCGGCTGAGGTGCTGGTGGGGTATCAGTGCAGCTCTGACGGTGGCGGGAGGGGCGCTGGGACTGCTGGGCTTTCTGCTGGCTTCAGCAGGGAAATCCCCCAAGGGGGCTGTGAGGGAACTGGCGGCCACGGCAGCAGTAGTCAGAGAGCAAAATTCTCTGTGCTTTTGCCTGGCTGTTCTCTGACTGGTCTTGCGCCTTGGCCCCACAGGCTGGGGTGACCTGTGCCATGGCCAGGGAGGGGGGCAGTCCAGCAATGGTTTACACATGGAACCAGGGTCCCAAGCGGTGCCCAGTCCTTCCCAGTAAATCCCCAGCCCTTCTCCAGTTTCTCGCTTCTCTCCCCAAGGCCTTTCCCCAGTCACCTCTCCCCTGGGAGCGCTGCGTTTCCTTCTGGCCTTTCAGTGGAGGGGACTTTTCATACTTCCTGCTCCCACCATAAGCCTGAGTGGCAGGGGAAGAGGTTCTGGGGACTTTCTGAGGCCACTATGGCTAGGAGAGAGGAGTCCTATAGCAAGGAATCCTTATCTCACGAGGGCACTGACCTTCCAGCGTGTTCTGCGCAGTATGAGCTGCTATTCTCAGGAGAGGCACAAAGTCCCAGATAGAAGGGAGGGGCTGCCCCCAGCAGCCTGGGGTCTCTGGCCCTGGTCTGCCATCACAGCACCCTTGGAGTGAGTGTCAGGGATGTGGGATATTTGCTCAAGTCCAGCCACCGGCCCTCTCCCAGTAGAGCCCACACATTATTGGAAAGAGAAATATAGCCAGTGCCCTCATCCTGGGAGTAGGGGTGCCCTGGTTGCTTTCACCAGCCTGCAAGAGTACAGTCAGGGTGAGGTGCTGGCGAACATCAACAACGATCTGGATTCGAATCCCAGCTTTGCCACTTGTTAGCCATGTTGCTGTGTCAACTTCTCTGAGCTTCAGTTTCTTCCACTGTTGTGTAAGGATAATGCCTCCTAGGGCTGTTGCGAGCATTAGTACTGTGCCTGGCATATAGTAAATAATATATGGTAGCCATATTATTATTATTATAATTGTTACTATCACCACTGTCATCTCTATTTATTTATTTATTTTTTTGAGACTGAGTCTTGCTCTGTCACCTAGACTGGAGTGCAGTGGCACCATCTTAGCTCACTGCAACCTCCGCTTCCCAGGTTCAAGCGATTCTCCTGCCTCAGCCTCCTGAGTAGCTGGGATTACAGGTGTGTGCCACAACAACTGGCTAATTTTTTTTTTTTTTTTTGGTAGAGACGGGGTTTCGCCATGTTGGCCAGGCTGGTCTTGAACTCCTGGCCTCAAGTGATCCGCCTGCCTCAGCCTCCCAAAGTGTTGGGATTACAGGTGTGAGCCACCATGCCTGGCCTCTGTCATCCCTTCAAATGTTCTTTCAGAACTGAGGCATGCAGAGGCCGGAAGACAGGCTGGGCTCACCAGGGTGGTTATCTCTGAGAGAGGACACGGGTGAGGCCAGAGGCCTCTCCCTGGAGAAGGAGGTAGGTGGAGAAGCTGGGTGGCATCCAGATAAGGAAGAGCAGCATCTCCTTGAGAGTGTACACAGGAGCACGGATGGGGAGGGAGGCTGAGTGCTCCTTACAGGCCCACCCTGTTCCCTCCAGGTGTTAGCTGCTATTGTCCCGGGTCTTCAGTGTTGACCATCGCATGGCATTTGGGCAGCTGGTTCTGCTGGGTTACAGTCCTCATGTCCCTGGCACAGACATAGCCATTGCCTGCTGGCGCTTGATACCTATTCATGTTCCATTTCTCTATTCCAAACACACTGAATTGCATGGCCCAGGGCGCCGTGGTGTGCACATTGTCTGGCCCAAACTCACCTAGAATACATATCAGGATCTCCTATGCACTGCTTGGGTCCAAAAAGAAGAGGTTCTGACCTTATCTGCCTCCAGCTTAGTTATAACATGGCTTATCTAAAGGCTTGGGAGGTGGGGCACCCAGCCATACCTACCCGTCCAGGAAGTTCCACACCTGGACAACTTTCAATTTCATTATTTTAGCTTCCTGAGATTCAGAGGCCGGGAACTGTGCAGAGATCTGCAGCGGGGATTCTCACAACTTCCATTTCTGGTGAACAGCTGAGGTCAGAGAGGAGGTGGGTACCACTTGAGATGGGCCTGTGGTTCCCGGGTACTGTCTTTCCAGACACCTGGAATTCCCAGGGTGGTGGTGAATTGAGAGTCAACCACCATGATGGGGGCAGAGACAGAGAAGGAAGCAGTGAGTGGATAAGTGCCTGGAACAGGCAGAAGGGGTGTAGGGGAAGGTGACCAAAGGTAGGATGGGGAAGTGGATCCCAGGAAGCTTTTGCTTCTTCTGAGGCCAACTTACCACCACCTCATTGGGAAATTGTTGGTAGCGAGGCACCCATCCAACTGCCTTGCAGAATACAGCAAGGCAGGGAGCCCAAGAATCAGAGCCAAGCAAAGAAACGACCAGTTGAGGTTAGTAACGTGAAGTCTGGCAATCATGCCCCTCATCCGTCTCTGGTTCCTCTGTTCGTCAACGTTGGCGCTAATCTGGCTGGGGCGTGGTGGGCCTGCCTTTCCGTCCCTCAGGCCCCTTGGAACAAGGGGGCAACTCTGCAGAGGGAGATGTAGAAAATGGGTCTCACTTTCCCTGTTTGGGACAGTAGCTGCTACTTTTTTCCTCCAGATGGGTTTCATGAGGGGCAGAGGAGAATCTGGGATCTGTGATGTTTAGCCCTCTTTACTGAGTCATGGCTGCCTCACCTTCTAGAAGTAAGGCAGGCAAATCATTCCAGGTAGTGGTTGTCCTGAAACCTTTGGTTCTTCCCTGACCTCATGTCATGTGTGTCTGTGTGAAGAAAGTCCACCAAACAGGCTTTGTGTGAGCAACCAGGCTGTTTATTTCGCCTGGGTGCAGGTGCTCTGAGTCCGAAAAAGGAGTCAGCAAAGGGTGGTGGGATTATCATTAGTTCTTACTGGCTTGGGATAGGCTTACAAAGTACATTCTCAAGGGCAGGAGAATATTACAAAGTACCTTCTTAAGGGCAGGAGAATATTACAAAGTACCTTCTTAAGGGCAGGGGAGACTATATCATATCAGGGTGGGGCAGGAACAAATCACAATGGTGGAGTGTCATCAGTTAAGGCTATTTTCACTTCTTTTGTGGATCTTCAGTTGTGATACCCTACCTTGTTTTAACCTGAATTGACTCTCCCTTAGCTGAGAGAGCCAGACAAACTCCATTTTGGCTCTTTCACTTGCTGCCCCTTACCCACCCCTCTTCCTCAAGGACTTAACTTGTGCAAGCTGACTCCCAGCACATCCCAGAATGCAATTAACTGATAAGATACCGTGGCAAGCTATATCCACAGTTCCCAGGAATTCATCTGGTTGATAGTACCCTAAGCCCCCACATTTGTGTCCGGTTGATGGTACCCAAAGCCCTCATGTCTATCACCTTGTGATAGATTTAAAGCCCCTGCACCTGGAACTGTTTGTTTTTCCGTAACCATTTGTCTTTTTAAACTTTTTTTGCCTGTTTTACTTCTGTAAGATTGCTTCAGTGAGGCTCCCCCTCCCCTTTCTACACCAAAGGATAAAAGAAAATCTAGCCCCTTCTTCGGGGCCGAGAAAATTTTGAGTGCTAGCCGTCTCTCGGTCGCCGGCAATAAAGGACTCCTGAATGAGTCTCGTAGTGTGGCATTTCTCTACAACTCTCTTGGTTACAACACAGTTGCTTCAGGCCGTCTGGATGTATATGTGCAGGTCACAGGGAATATGATGGCTTAGCTTGGGCTCAGAGGCCTGACACCTCAGGCTGCCAAATGTGGAAGATTTAAATACTTGAACCAATACCCTCCTTCCAAAAACTGAAATTGGCTTCTATTTCCGAGTCAGTCCAGGTGCAGTGTTCGGCATATTTGAGGAAATCACAAGAATTGTAGTTAAGGAGATAGATGCTGGAGGGGATATGATTGCTGTTAGAAGCCTCATTGATGCTGATAGATCCCACTGCTTCCATCTGGTGGAGGAGAAGAGAACTGTCTTTGGATGCCGGCACTACACGATGGCCTCACCCTGATGGACATTCTGGACACAGATGGGGACAAGCGGTTAGATGAACTGGATTCTGGGCTCCAAGGTCAGTATAAGGTAGATGACAGGTGGCCAGCCAGGAGGCCTTGACCATTTGTATTCCATCTCTTTCTCAATTCACCATTGTTATCAACCAAATCAACCAATCAACGAAACTGTGGAATTTGTTTGTACACATCCACACACCTTAATTTAAGAAATGCACGGAAGAGCTGCATGGTGGGAGGAGAGTGGGAGAAGTGGAGATTTATTTCCACTGGAAACCATTCCTAAATGGTCTTTCTTTCCCATTTTTCCCTTGTAAAACAATCTGCTTTTAATTTAGCAGAGCTCTTCTCATGTGTTTATCATTGAAGTGGATAAGTAAGTGAGGGCAGTTTGCTTACTGGTTAAGAAAGGATGCAGGCTTTAGGGCTGGAAGCACCTGGTTTCAAAGCCTGGCTCTGCCTCTTATCAGCTGGGTGACCTTTGGACAAGTTGTTGTATTGCTCTAAGTTTCAGTTTCCTCATGTGTCAACTCTAGAGGACTGTTGTAAGAATCAAATGAGGCGCCGAGGCACGTGGGCTCACTCCTGTAATCCCAGCCTTTGGGAGGCGAGGTGGGCCGGATCATGAGTCAGCAGACAAGACATCCTGTCCTAACACAGGTGGAACACCCCTCCCATTCTCCTACCCAAAAAATATATACAATTAAAAACATACGTCAGGCACGCTGCACCGGCCTGTAGCTCCCAAGCTACCAGCGAGGCCTGAGGCAGCCGAGAATTGCTGAACTCGGAGGCTCCAGGTTCGCACGTGAACGGACGACTCGTGCCACTCCGCCACCCAGCCTAGGCGACCCAGAGTAACGACTCTGCCAAAAACAAAAACAAAAAAAAAAAAGGAATCAAATTAAGAACAACTTATGTGAATCATTTGATCACAGCTCGCCACAAAAGGAGCACCTTAATAAAACCGTAGCTCCCCATCATCGCCTGTCATGGTGCGCATGATTCTTACTATCCTTCATGTGTCCTGGCCGTGTCCCAGACTGAAACGGCGGGAGTTGCTGATGAAGCAGAAAATCCCTAAAGATATTGGGGGACACTTTATGGAAGATCCATACTTCACGCCCTCCATCCCCCTCGCCTCTGATTCTCAGTCTATCCTCGGGGTACTTGGGTTCGTCAGCAACAGGCCCCTGCGGCCTTGAAGCGTCAACAGCACTGTCCTCCTGGCGCCCACGCTCGAGATACTGAGTGAGGAGTTGCCATCTAACTATTCTCACAGTGTCGAAAAAATACTTGCATAAAGGAACAAAATGGCAAGGGCACGTGCTCATAGCGCAGACTCTCTGATACAGTCTGTTTCTTTTTATGAGGCTCTCATGCAAGAGATTGGACCACAAGAGCTCTAACATGCCTGCGGGGACAGTTTTAGAGCTATTCCACGAATGTCCAGGAACGTGCTTACAGGTGCACGCAAGAGCCGGTACCGCAGATTACTTCTGGAGGTGGTGGCGCTTTCCACAAGTGGAGTTTCGTTAAGCGACAAGCAAGGACCCTTTGAGAATTTCAGATTCGCATTCTCTTTCTAAAGACTTGAGTCAATGCTGCTGCAACAAGTCAAATCCGCTTAAGCATGACCGAATGTTTTGGCCTAAAGCCAGTCCCGCCTTCTCCCAACTGCGCAAAAATATATAAAAAAAAAAAAAACCATCTTATCAGGGTCCCGCTAAATGGACGACCTAAACGTCCCCTGAATATATTTTTAATAATACACCTCACCCACAGAACCAAGAGCGCCCTGATTCCTCTGCGCCGACAAGAATATTACTCCTCAGGGACAGGTGCAAGTGTAAGTCTGGAACAAAAAAATGACTAAGTCATGTCAACTTCCTTTAAGGAAAAGCTCATCTGTGTGCATACAGAATTCGAGGCAGAGGTGAAACCAAACTTAAAAAAAAGAAACATCCTTACAACAATGGGATATGCTAATTTGAATTGATTCTTGTAGCTGGTCTGCTCCTATTTAAATGGGTTACTTTTGTAACTATGTAATGCTGATGGTGCAGTTAAAGTGTGCATAGGCGCTGGGCACGTGGCTCACACCTGTAATGCCAGCACTGTGGGAGACCGAGGCAGGTGGATCACTTTGGCGGAGTTCAAGTCCAGCCTGGCCAACATGGCGAACCCTGTGTCTGCTAAAAATACAAAAATTAGCGGGCGCAATGGCACATGCCTGTAACCAGCACTTTGGGAGTCGAGGTGGCAGATCACTTGATGTCAGGGAAGTTTGAGACCAGCCTTGGCCAACATGGCAAAACCCTGTCTCTTTACAAAAACTTAGCTGGGTGTGGTGTCGCATGCCTCATTCCAGCTACTCGGGAGGCTGAGGCAGGAGAATTGCTTGAACCCGGAGGCGGAGGTTGCAGTGAGCCATGATTAGCCACTGCAACTCCAGCCTGCGACAAAGCAAGAGACTCCGTCTCAAAAAGAAAAAAAATAGTGCATAGAATTTTTGTTTGTTACTAAAGTCCATAGATTTTTTGTTTGTTATTAAAGTCCATACTTTATTCATATTAACTTTTTTTTTTTTTTTGAGATGGAGTGTCGCCTCTGTGCCTAGGCTGCAGTGCAGTGGCGCACTTCCAGCTCACTGCAACCTCTGCCTCTAGCACAACTTTCAGACAGTGGTCTGTCTGCTCGCCTCTCCTTGAATAGCCCTGCGGATTACACAGGCCTTGCACGCACTCCACACCGCCTAATTCTCTTTGTCTATTTCTAGAGAGGACACGGTTCTTCGCCATGTGGCCAGGCTGGTCTTGAACTCCTGACCTCAGGTGATCCGCCCGCCTTGGCCTCCCAAAGTGCTGGGATTATAGGCATGAGCCACCGCACCCAGCCCATGTTATCTTGGTTTTGACCTAGTGTCCTTTTTCTATTGCAGAATCCCATCCAGGATCCCACATTACATTTAGTTGTCATGTCTCCTTAGGCTCCTCTTGGCTGTGACAGTTTCTCAGACTTTGCCTGTTTGGGATAATCTTGGCAGTTTTGAGCAGTACTGGTCAGGGATAGTGTAGAATGTCCCTCTGTTGGAATTTGATGTTTTTTTCATGGTTAGACTGGGTTCTGGGTCTCAGGGAGGAAGACCACAGAGGTAAAGTACCATTCCTATTACATCACATCAGGGGTATGTACTATCAACATGACCTATCACTGTTGATGTTGACCTTGATCACCTGGCTGAGGTAATGTTTGTCAGGTTTCTCTACCAGAAGTTACTCTTTTTCCTCTTCTTCATATAGTACTCTTTGTGCACATCGTTTTTCTTTTTCTTTTTCTCTCTGATATTTTTCTTTTCTTTTACACTGCTCAAGACGCAAATGGTCCCTAAGACATTTGTGTCTCGTGTACACACAAATAGTGATTTCAGGCACTGTTTCCAATTCTGTCACATTTCCACCAGTTCCAAAATGGATTGATTTGTCTTTGGAAATCCAGTCCTGCCTCCAAAACCTAGCAATGGGAGCTCTTCCTCCCCTGTAAGTTCCCATCTGGGAGGTTGGAGACAAAGGCACGCAGCCCCTTCAGCATGCCCACATATCATCCACGAACCCTGGGGCGGCAACTGACTCAGAACCAAGGCCCTTATTAGTGCCTGATCAATCAGGGCAGAGTCCATGCATGTGGATGACTTTCCAGGATTGCCTCACTTTATACTTGTGTGGTTCATACAAACAACAGCAACATAACTGCTTTTTTTTTTTTTTTTTTTGAGATGGAGTCTGGCTGTCGCCCAGGCTGGAGTGCAGTGACTTGATCTTGGCTCACTGCAACCTTCGCCTCCGCCTCCCAGGTTCAAGCGATTCTCCTGCCTCGGCCTCCCAAGTAGCTAGAATTACAGGCACGTGCCACCACCCCCGACTAATTTGGTAGAGATGGAGCTTCACCATGTTGGCCAGGTTGGTCTTGAACTCCTGACCTCAAAGTGCTAGGATTACAGGCATGAGCCACCGCGCCTGGCCCTAATTTTTGTATTTTTTAGTAGAGACGGGGTTTCACCATATCAGCCAGGTTAGTCTCAAACTCCTGACCTCAAGTGATCTGCCTGCCACAGCCTCTCAAAGTTCTGGGTTTACAGGCGTGAGCCACTGCGCCTGGCCTTAATTTCCCTAAATATAGGAAATAAACATTAGTAATATTCTCCTACTGTAGATGAGGAAACAAAGAGGTTAAGTGACTTACCCAAGGTCGTGTGGTAAGAAGGTGGAGGAGTGGGCTCCATTCTGGGATCCTGTGACCCCAGGTAACTGAGCTTCTGGTGAGAACAGCATTTCCTGGACAGCCGCAGCTGGAGCGCTCCCTCAGAAGGGAGGGGGATGGTGGCATGGAGCCCAGGATGGGGCTGCCCCAAGGAGGGTTTTTTGGAAAGAGATCTTTTGGGGGTCCGCTCCAGAGTGACCTTTACCATTCTCTTTCCAGGTCAAAAGGCTGAGTTTCAAATTCTGGATAATGTAGACTCAAAGGGAAAGTTGATAGTGAAATTGCCCAAAAAAATAACAATTTCAGGCAGCTTCTAGGGCTCCCACGATCAGAAAATCGAGATATCTGAGAACTGGATATCCCAGCAGTATCTGGATACCCTTGAGAACAGGTGAGGTTGGAGTTGGGCAGCAGGGAAGGAGGGGAAGAAGCCCATCTCGGGCACCAAGGGATTCAAGGGTGGCGGACCTACTCTTTTACTTATTTATTTATTTTTATTTTTATTTTCCCTGCTTTTCATTAGCTTTGTAGGGGACTGGCTCTCTAGGGCAGCCTCTCACTCTCTACTTCCAGGATTACTCCAGCCTGCCCTTTACACAAGCATGCCTTCCTCTTCTCTGCCTCCAGAAAACCTTCTCATTTACTCAGGAGCAGCCTCCAGGAAGCCTTCTGATGCCCCCAGTTCACTCACATCCCTGCTGTTCCCCAGGATGGTTAATTCCTCTGACTTGGACAAACCTGGTGTTTTTTTTTTTTTTTTTTTTTGAGACGGAGTCTCGCTCTGTCGACCAGGCTAGAGTGCAATGGCGCGATCTCGGCTCACTGCAAGCTCCGCCTCCAAACCTGGTGGTTTAAGAGGCACTCTCCTCTGCTCTCCTCTGCCCTCTTGCACTGAGCTGCCCACATCAGTATTTTGTGCTTGTTTGCCTCTGCCTTGTGGGCAAGCCAGTGGCTTCCATGTTCGTCTTTCCCACTGGACTGGAAGCAACTTGTGACAAGGGACTGACTTTACTAACCTTTCTGTATTGACTCCAAGCACATAGTAGGTACTGAGTGAAAGAGAGCTGAAGTGAAGTACAATGAAAGCAAAGCACCCCTTGGAGGACATTTCCTGCATGGAGTGCAGCCACCCCACCCCAGCAGGGTGGCACCAATCAAATGCCACAGAGGTGCTGGTAGCTGGTGGGCAGGTGCTTCCAATTCAAGAGGCCATCACTAGCCATGCCCTCAACGATAGTTCTGTGGTTGTTTTCCTCAGCTGGGATTGTTGGAGATTGAGGAGTAGCTCAGGGGAAGGTGCCCCGCAGTTTTCCTGGCCTTGCTCTCCTTGAGTGGAGTGGGAGCAGGCGCCTTTTTCCTTTTCCTTTCCTTTTCTTTTTTTTTTTTTTGAGATGGAGTTTCACTTTTGTTGCCCAGGCTGGAGTGCAATGGCCCATTTTTGGCTCACTGCAACCTTTGCCTCCTGGATTCAAGAGATTCTTCTGCCTCAACCTCCCGAGGAGCTGGGACTACAGGTGTCTGCCACCATGCCTGGTTAATTTTTGTATTTTTAGTAGGGACAGGGTTTCATTCACCATGTTGGCCAGGCTGGTCTCGAGCTCCTGACCTCAGGTGATCCACCTGCCTTGGCCTCCCAAAGTGCTGGGATTACAGGTGTGAGCCACTCCGCCCAGGCCCCCTCTTTTTTAATTAATAAATTAAAAACAAAGGCTTACAATAAAACTTTACTGGTCCTTCGAATTACCCCTCCCTACCACGGTAGGGAGGGCCCTCGGAATTTTTCTGAGAGCTCAGTGTTTTCTTTTCTTTTCTTTTCTTTTTTTTTTTTTGAGACGGAGTCTCACTCTGTCGCCCAGGCTGGAGCGCAGTGACCGGATCTCAGCTCACTGCAAGCTCCGCCTCCCGGGTTTACGCCATTCTCCTGCCTCAGCCTCCCGAGTAGCTGGGACTACAGGCGCCCACCACCTCACCCGGCTAGTTTTTTGTATTTTTTTAGTAGAGACGGGGTTTCACCGTGTTCGCCAGGATGCTCTCGATCTCCTGACCTCGTGATCCGCCCGTCTCGGCCTCCCAAAGTGCTGGGATTACAGGCTTGAGCCACTGCGCCCGGCCTCCGTGTTTTCTATTATAGAATGCTTGTTTGTCAGGTGAGGGTATTGGTATCTATATGTGGGGTGGGGGCACTGGATAGGTAGGGGAAGGTCATTGGAGGCAGGGACCCATGTCTTCCTTGAGGGCCTTTTGATTGCAAATAGAAACTCCATCAGACATTTTAGGTCATAACATGAGTTTCCTCCAGCGGGAATGGAATCAGATGCTTCATGAGCCTAAGGGCAGGTGGTGCAGCTGGCTCCAGGGACTGGTGCAAGGAACTGGAGTCCCTCGTCAGAGAAGAGGGTGTCTTGGGCTTCACAGATGCCTATCTCAGTGTCATGGGAAGGGCACTCCCTTTGGATTTACACTGACCAGGGTTTGAATCCCAGCTCTACACTTACTACCTGTGTGGCCTTGGACCATTCACAACCTGTCACTAAGCCTCAGTATCTTTACGTGGAAGGTGGATGTAATTCTGCCTACCGTCACAGGATTGTGAAGGTTAAGTGGAAAAGTGTGTCTCACAGCTGGCACATTGTAATCCTCCATAAATGCTAGTGAATTCTTGCCCCACTTTGTTTGTATTTATTTATTGACTTATTTATTTTGAGATGGAGTCTTTCTTTGTTGCCCAGCCTGCAGTGCAATGGTGCAGCCTTGGCTCGTTGCAACCTCTGCCTCCCGGGTTCAAGTGATTCTCCTGTCTCAGCCTCCTGAGTAGCTGGGATTACAGATGTGTGCCTGGTGATCACTCACCTCAGCCTCCCAAAATGCTGGGATTACAGGCGAGAGCCACCATACCCGGCCTCTCGCCCTACTTTGTGCCCCACCCCTACCTCCACCCCAAGGTGGGTAAAGTGAACTGCGATGGGGTGCTGTGTTCCTTGGTTTTCCAGTCTCAGAAGCGATTAATCTTAAATGGGAGCTGGCTCACGGAGAGGGAGAAGAGTCAGTGGGAGGTAAGACCCTGAGATCCTCAACTCTGATCTCTCTCTACTGTCTCCAGGAAGCTGAAGAGGGAACTACCCTTTTCATTCCGATCAATTAATAGGACAGATTCTGTCATCAATCTGGTGACAGAAACTCTGGAGATGGTAAAGAAAGAAACCCTGAAAAGCGACCGGCAATATAAATTTGGAAACGAGATTTTTCAGAGTCATCTCAGCTATGAACACAAGGTTAGGATCCTGGGAGGCAGGAACTGTGAAGGTCAGCGTTGGCCCACGCACCGCGGGTCAAGGCAATGCCAGCCCTAGACTCTTCCTTCACTCCTCTCCTAGCAGCCCTGCTGCTCTTGGCCACATTGCCCCAAGAAAGGGTGGGTGGCATTGCCCAGTCCCTCCCTTGTTACTCTCTAGCGATGCCCTCTTTTCATTTTTATTTTTCTTCTTTTTTTTTTTAAATAGACATGAGGTCTTGCTATGTTGTCCAGGCTGTCTCAAACTCCTGGGCTTAAGCAATCCACCCACCTTGGCCTCCCAAAGTGCTGGGATTACAGGTGTTGAGCCTGCGCCCAGCCCTTCATTTTCGTTGACATTTCCCATGGTTCATCTTACACAAGTGTATTTTTGCTTGTTTTGTCCTGTCTCCTTCTAGGAGGCAGGGAGACAGAGCCATGGTGCCTAGAACAAAGCAATCCCAGTAACATTTGTTGAATGACAGTGGCAACAGGATGAGTTTTGGCATCAGACGTGGGTTCAATTTCAGCTCTGCCACTGTTTTTAGCTGTGAGACGGACTCACCTGCTGACCCTCAGAGCCTCAGTTTTTCTCGTCTATAAAATGGGGATACAAATGACTGCCTCACAGGGTTGTTTGGGAAATCAGGCAAGATAATGCCCCACTGGGGATCTCGATGTGAGCTCCTTTTTCTAGGGCCAAAGGGAAGGACCATCCTCCCCAATGGGTCCTGAGCTATCGGTAAAGCAGCTTGTCTTCCCCAACAAAGGAGGACGATGAATAGCAAAAGGCTGATGGGGAACAGGATGGGAGACCTAACACCCAGAGTGGTGGGGTGGAATGTCAACCCAGCTTGTCGCCTAGGGTGGGTGGTGGTGGCTTGGAGGTTGTGGGAGGGGTCCAGGAAAAGGGTGGATTTCCAGCACTAGGAGCTGAGGCTCCATGCTGTGGCCTGGGGACCTGGACCGCTGATCAGGGTTTGCCTGAACTGACATAAGAGTCCGTTAACTCCTCTCCCAGTCTTCTAAAGAGAAATAATGTTCTTTTTGGCTGGGGTGGGTGCTCACGCCTGTAATCCCAGCACTTTGGAGGCCCAAGGTGGGCAGATCACCTGAGGTCAGGAGTTTGAGACCAACCTGGCCAAAGTGGTGAACCCCTGTCCTCTATGAAATATATAAATATTAGCCAGGGTGTGGTGGCGTGTGCCTGTATCCCAGCTACTTGGAGGCTGAGGCAGGAGAATTCTCTGAACCTGGGAGGCAGAGGTTGCAGTGAGCCGTGATCTCACCATTGCACTTCAGCCTAGGCAACAAGAGCAAACTCCTATCTCAAAAAAAAAAAAAAAAGAAACAGTTGTCTTTTTTTTTTTTTTTTTATTGAGGCTGGTGTGGGATTGAGAAGGACTGGAGAAAGGGAACTTAAGGGTGAGAACTGGTCTCTCCAATAATGTTTTTTTTCCCTCCCTTTTTGGTGCTTGTTTCGATATTTGTTTGAGGGACAACAACAAAATCCTTTCCAGAAGGTGAGTGAGCTGCTGGGCTTCCTGTTCGTCATTTCAGAATGGGCAAGAACAACTATTTTTAAATGAAATCTATAAAGTGGTTAGGTCCAGTGTGGTAGGATGCACCCACGGTGGGACCATGGCAAACGCAGCGGAAAAATTAGCCTGTTGGAGAAGAGTCATGGATTGTACGTTGGACTAGGGTTTCAGGCTGTCCTAGGACACTTGTGCTGGCAGTCGCTGGATCCGGCTTACAGCCCCCCTGAAGGCTCTTTTGGCTAGGAAGCACAGTTAATGACCTTGGCCAGTCCAGCTTGACAGCACTTGGCGTGAAAAGGTCCTGGGACTGGAGTCAGGCAGTCTCAGGGTCTAGTCCCACCCTGCACTCACTAGCTCTACGCCTCTCAAGTCACAGTTATGACTTTATTTTAGTTTAATTTAATTTTTTGAGACAGAGTCTTGCTCTGTCACCCAGGCTAGAGTGCAGTGGTGTGATCTTGGCTCACTGCAACCTCTACCTCCTGGGTTCAAGCAATTCTCCTGCCTCAGCCTCCCAAGTAGCTGGGATTACAGGTGCCCACCACCATGCCCAGCTAAGTTTTTTTAAAATTTTATTTTTAATTTTAGTAAAGACAGTGTTTCACTATATGTTGGCCAGGCTGATCTCAAACTCCTGACCTCAAGTGATCCACCCACTGCGGCCTCCCAAAGTGCTGGGATTACATGCGTGAGCCACCGTGCCTGCCCTTTCCTGACTTTGAAATAAAGGAGTGAGACTAGAAGGTCCCTGTGATTCTGAATTGTGTGGCTTCCTCTGGAATTTCTAGGTTTTCCCCTTGATGCCAGCAGGGTTGTACTGCCTAAGAGAGGTTGGAAAGGGATAGAGAAGTCTGACCCAAATTTGCAGAGCGACTGAGTGTATGCTGCCCCCTTTCTGGGCCTTGGCTTCTTCCTCAGTCATCTAGGCACGGTCCTATGACTGCCTGTTTTTGAGGATATGGGAGGGGTCTGCAAATACAGTGCTTTCCCATTGACACACACTGATGAGGATGCAGGCTCCCTGGTACCACCCGTCACCCGTGAGGGCTCAGATTGCAAGCGTGAAAACTTCCATCACTGGGAAGAGAAGTCTGCAGGGGACTGGAGGTGATCTAAAGATTCTGAAATAACTCTTCCTCTCTCTGCAGAGAAGGATGGTGCTTCATCCTGTTTAGGTAAGGGTGATAGCCAAGTGTGTTCAGGGTGGCTGCACCAACCCACCCTGAGTAGCTCAAGACTGCTGCTCAGGTGGGGTCAGCTGAGGAGGTATGAAGGAGGGGCACTGCCTAGCAGGTTTCAACTTTAGTCTGGAGGCTGAGTCTGTCTCCTCTAAACGCAGTGGTTCTCATTGGTTATACCCTGAAATCACACGGGGGAACTTTAAAACTAGTGGCGACTGAGTCCCATCTCCAGAAACTCTGACTTAATTGTGGGGGTATGGCCTGGACCTCAGGATTCAGAGTAACTCCTCAGGTGATTCTCATGCAGTCAAGGTTGAGAACCACTGCTTTAACTTTCTCCAAATCCTAATTACTTCCAGTGTGGCCTGAGGACTGCACTTTGAATGGCAAGGACCAAATAACGAAGTTTTTGTTTTTTCCGGGAGGTGGAGAAGAATTTGGGATTGGGACTAGACTGGGGGTGAGCTGGGGAGATGGAAGATGGAAGTGGGGTCAGTGGGAGGCAATGATGGTAGGTATCTCGGAAGAAGGATGCTTAATTTTAACACGGAAAGATTGGAAGAAGGGAAGATACAAAGAGGTGGTCTCCAGAAGACAGGCAGACAAATAACAGAGCCTCAGAAATAAAGCCTTTTGGGCTAGGTGGCCCAGGTTCTCAACTGCTGCCTCTACGGGAAAGTCTTTGGGTTCGGAGGATTCCAGAAACATGAAGGAGAAGTTGGAGAACGTGGAAAGTGTCCTCCAGGAACTGACGGAGGACAAGAGGAAAGATGTGCTAAACTTCCTCACTAAGTGCCTCGGCAGGGAGGAGCTTTGGCAGGATCTAGAGCAAAAAGTAAGAGCCCCTAAGAAAGCACTGGGGCAGAGAGAGAGAGGAGCCAGAGGGGAGGGCAGTTGGCACAGTGAGGATGGTCTGCTCTGGTGAGACTGGTGCTCATCTCCCACAACTCCTGGCCCTAGATATCTGAGGTCCTGATTTTCGGGGAGCTGCAGATGGAGGACCCAGTCAATCCTCTCCTAAGCAGCCTTTTTAATGCTGCTGGGATCTTGGTAGGAGCGCGCGCAGAGGCCATTCTGGACTTCCTGGATGCCTTGCTAGGTGAGGAAGGGTCTCGCTGTAGGCTGGGGTGGAGGAAGTGTGAGCAGAGAGGCCTGTGGGAAGTCACATCTTGGGAGGAGGGGCTGCACGTTGCTCTTCACAGTTCACAGGGGGGTACCCCTTCATGTCCCTCAGGCCAGGCATTGAGAGGCTGGTTTCTCGTCTATGACCTCCTGCAGGTCGAGAGGGAAGCAGGAGTCGCAGCAGAGGCCCGTTTGGAGCAACTCTCATCTAGCACTCCCAGGGGCTCTCTGGAACCTTTTGATGATGCATGTTCTGGGTGTGATCAGCCACTGAGGCCCTGTCCCACCATGTATCTCTCCTTTTTGCCAACCACTCTCTTTCTTTACCCCCAGAGCTGTCTGAGGAGCAGCATCTTGTGGCTGAGGCCCTGGAGAAGGGGACCCTTCCTCTGTTGAAGGACCAGGTGAGACAGCCTGGGCTGAGGGCCAGGGTCATAGTGGAAGGGAATGCCCATATGCTCAAGGGACCCAGAAGTCCCAGGGTACAGCCCCTTCTTATTCCATGGTTTTCTGCCAGCTCACATCCATGCAGCTGGTTTGTAACAATTCCCTGGACACAGAGTTGCCAGGACAATTTGTAATGGGTTCTTTAGGCTCTGTTGTTTATCTATGGGCAAGAGAGGGGTGTAAATTGGTTAGTCTCAGGATAGCAGCTGGTGTGATCTTGAGTTCCAGTGCAGATTGACTAGCAGAGCCTGCCACTATGTTGAGAGAGTATGAAGCTCCCCGGGCTCTGCAGGAAAGAGTGCCATGATGGATTATTACGTCTGCCTGTCGGCTCAGCAGTAAGGAGTGTGGCCAAATATTTGCCATTTCTGGTATATCATTATTCCTAGCTTTTACAATCTGGTGGGTTTCCTTGCAGGTGAAACCTATCATGGAGCAGAACTGGGATGAGCTGGCCAGCAGTCCTCATGACGTGGACTGTGACCCTGAGGCACGAATTCCCTGTGCGCTGTATGTTGTTGTCTCTATCCTGCTGGAGCTGGCTGAGGGGCCTACCTCCGTCTCTTCCTAATTACAAAAACCCTTTCTCCCCACAAGCCTCTGGGTTCTCCCTTCACCGGTCTGTCCTCACCGCCATCGTCACTACCATCCTGTTACCAGTGGCACCTCTTTAAAACAAGCAGCCAACCATTCTTTGATGTATCCCATTCACTCCGTGTTAACGTCCAAAATCAGCCTGGATTTTATGCTTCTAATTAAAAGTGGCAGGTTGTGCATGTTAATTTTGTCTCTTGAAGCCTCACTAAATGACAGTAAAGCAATAGAAAAGCTTTGTATAAACCTACAAGGATGAAAAGAATGCAGCAGCAGATAAGAAACTTTAACACATCTTTGGAAGCTAGAAAGCAATGAAAGGAGTGCAGGCTGGGAGGTGTAGGACTGGGAGTAGACAGGAGATTGCTGTTTTTATCATCAGCCTTCTATTTATTTATTTATTTATTTATTATTTTTGAGACAGAGTTTTGCTCTTGTTGCCCAGGCTGGAGTACAATGGCGTGATCTCGGCTCACTACAACCTCTGCCTCCTGGGTTCAAGCGATTCTTCTGCCTCAATCTCCAGAATAGCTGGGATTACAGGGGCCCGCCACCATGCCTGGCTAATTTTTGTATTTTTAGTAGAGATGGTGTTTCACCCTTGTTGGCCAGGCTGGTCTCAAACTCCTGAGCTCCAGTGATCCGCCCCCATTGGCCTCCCAAAGTGGTGGGATTACAGCTGTGAGCTACCGCACTTGGCCAGCCTTTTAGTTCTATTTGATATTTTTAAAGAAACTGTAATTAAAAGTTAAAGAAATATATGCTTGTTATAAACCATTCAAACATTTCCCAAATATAAATGAGCAGGTGAAGTTACTCTGTGACCTACCCTTTCTTTGTAGAGACCCAGAGAGGTAAGTGAAATACCAGAACATGAAAGTAATTTTGCCCCAGGTGAGGGGGATTGATAATTGGCAAACCCAGACAAAGTAAGTTTGGGTTTGGCTAGCCTCCTGGACTGATGGCTCCAGAAGCCAAGGCCAAGGGCCTATCCACGTTTGGGAGTCTAGTAAAAGGAAACCTTCCCTACCGTATTAGACTAATCTCAAACGGCTACACTGTAAGGGTTAGGGTGAATTAGCAGTAAACTTACTGTTCTTACTGCACCCCCAGGGGACTGCGGGGAAGACTTTCTTGATACTGAGTGAGGAAAAGGTTAGCAAAAGGAAAGGAAAAAAAATTCTGTGAAAACCACAGCCCAGTCTTTTCTCAGAACTTAGCCTCTATTTGTATCCTCTGAGAATTCCAGAGAATCTCAAATTGTGAACTTGGTTTTTGGGGGTCTTGGATTGAATGGACCCCCAGATGCCTGTCAGAACCAAACACAAATTATCTCTGGAGGAAGTAATCTTCCACAAATATATATATGTGAGACATGGTCATGCTGTGTCACCCAGGTTGGAGTGCAGTGGAGCAATCACAGCTTACTACAGCCTCCACTTCCCAGGCTCCCTCCTCAGCCTCTTGAGTAGCTGGGACTACAGGTGTGCACCACCATGCCTGGCTAATTTTTAAAATTTTTTTTGTAGAGATGGCATCTCCCTGTGTTGCCCAGGCCGGTCTTGAATTTCTGGGTTCAAGTGATCCTCCTGCTTTGGCCTCCCAAAGTGTCGGGATTACAGGGGTAAGTCACTGTGCTTGGTTGGCTAAGGCACATACGTTTTCCTTTTGAGAGATGTGGTATTGCTCTGTTGCCCAGGCTAGAGTGCAGAGATGCAATCATGGCTCACTACAGCCTCTACCTCCTGGGCTCAAGTGATCCTCCCACCTCAGCCCCCTGAGTAGCTGGGACCATAAGTACGCACCACCATGCCCCATCTAATTTTTGCTAGTTTTTGTAGAGATGGGTCTCACCATGTTCCAGAGGGCCCTGGTACGATATTGCCAGGGCTGGTGGTTGGAAGCTCCAGACTCAACTGATCCTCCCTCCTCAGCCTCCCGAAGTGTTGGAATTATGGAGTAAGCCACTCATGCTGGCTTAAGGCACATACTTTCAAGTAACTCAAAAAGTCAAGGGAGAAATCCTAATGGAAGTTCTAAGATTTTTTTTTCTGCTTATGATAATATAAATATACATACAATGTGAGGTTAGCTAAAGACTTTTTTTAAGGAAAATATATGTATCACCTTAATTGTTGTGTTTAGCAAAAAAAAAAAAAAGCTAAAAAAATCGAAGAGCTAAGTATTCATGCAAAAAGCTACCAAAGAAAACTCCAAAACAAACCCAACAACAAGCCCTTCTTTCCCTCCAAAAAAGCCCCAGCAAAATATATCCAGGAAAAGAGAAGAAAAGCACACAAATTGATAAGAAACAAAAAATTAAGAGGATCCAATAAAGGCAGACATTGGACCTTTGAAATGACTCCACAACATCTCTGACAAGAGTTAATTAATTTATAGTATATTATTTATTTATTTATTTATTTGTTTTTGAGATGGAGTCTCACTCTGTCTCCCAGGCTGAGAGTGCAGTGGTGCAATCTTGGCTCACTGCAACTTCACTGCCTGGGTTCAAACAATTCTCTTGCCTCAGCCTCTTGAGTAGCTGGGACTACAGGTGCACACCACCACGCCTGGGTTATATTTTGTATTTTTTAGTAGAGAGGAGTTTCGCCATGTTGGCCAGGCTGGTCTTGAACTCCTGACTTCAGGTAATCCGCCCACCTTGCCTCCCAAAGTGCTGGGATTACAGGTGGAGCCACTGCGCCCAGGCTTGACAAAGAGTGATAATAGAGAGAGGGAGCAAATATTCATCAGTTTTAGGAGTGAAAAGGAAACAGTTCTAAAGATGCTACAGGCATTTAAAAGACAAGAGGATATTAGAAATGACTTTATGCCAATAAATTTGAAATTTTAGGTGAAATGGGTGTTATCCTAAAAAAATAAAATTTCCCAAAATTGACCCAGGAAAAAAATAGAAAACATGAATAATCCTCTAAGAACAAAGAATACTCTATCAAGAACAAAATATTGGCCAAGCATGGTGACTCACACCTGTAATCCTAGCACTTTGGGAGACTGAGGTGGGTGGATCACTTGAGGTCAGGAATTCGAGACCAATCTGGGCAACATGGTGAGGCACGTGTCTACTAAAAATGCAAAAATTAACTGGGCATCGATGGTGTATGCTGTAATCCCACAGCTACTTAGGAGGCTGGGTGCATGAGAATCTGCTTAATCTGGGAGACAGAGGTTCCAGTGAGTTCCGATGATCATGACACTGCACTCCAGCCTTGTGGCGACAGAAGTGAGACTCTTTCTCAAAAACAAACAAAATATTTCCCACATAAGAAAATTCCAAGCCATATGGTTTCTTCAGTATAACAATTTAAGTATTTAAAGATAAGTAATCCTAAATTTCACACAAACTCTTTTCAGCAGCATTTTCCAATTCATCATATACACAGCAAAAACTTAACAAGAACAGTAAGAGAAAGGAAGATGCAGACCAGTCTCATTATGAGGCTTAGAGGAAACCACACAGTCTAATTAAACAAATCAGCAAAACCAAATCACCTAGAAAACAGAGAAATAATATATAACGGATTTATACTGGATTTCAAATGAGTTGTTTACATTGAGAAAAATTTATGTAATTTATACTCACAACTAACAAGTTTAAGAAAAAATGAACAGGGATCATTTCAATAAAGCACCAAAAATGCCGTTGACAAAATTCAAATATCCATTGCATTCGATTAAAATTCCTAGAAAACTAGGAGACCAGCGGCCAGGTGCAGTGGCTTCACACCGCTAATCGCCAATGCACTTTGGGAAGGTCCGAGATGGGCGGTATCACTTGACATTCAGGTTCATAGGGTCAAGCACACGGCCAACATGGTGAAACCCCATCTCATAACAATACAAAAAATACGCCGGTCCTTGGTGGCAGGTCCTGTAATCCCAGGCTATTTGGGAGGCTGGAGGTGGGGAATGTTTGAACCCGGGAGCTAGTGGAGTTGCCAGTGAGCCCAGGATCATGCCATCTGTACTCCAAGCGCGGGGACAGAGCCAGACTCCGCTCGAAAAAAAAAGAAAAAAGAAGAACCTAGAACCAGGAGAAAGTTTCTTCTAATCTGATAAGAGTTTATGTACAAAATATATAAGTAATATTCTATTTAATAGTAAGTGTTATAAGCCTTTACTCTCTGAAATCAGAATAAGAGCAAAGGAATATTCCACTATCACTGCGTCTATTTGACATTGTACAGAAGATCTAGCAAATGCAGTTCTTAAACAGAAAAAGCAGACAAAATATGTAAAGAATTGAGAAATATGCCATTACTTACAGATTGAGCTAATGTAGTACAGTTGATAAATCTAGAAGATTTGCAGATTAAATTATGAAAGGTTAATATTAACAATTTTCTAAAATCACATATGTGGACCAATCGTAATTCATATATTGACCACTAACAATAACAAAATGAAATTTGAAAGATAGCAATGTTAGTAGCAACCAAAAATAGTGAAATATTTAGGAAAATGTTGAACTGAAGTTCTGAAAGAGTTGAAATATATTGTTATAAAATCTTACTGAGCTGGGCGTGGTGGCTCACACCTGTAATCCCACTTTGTGGGAGGCTGAGGTGGGCAGATCACTTGAGTTGGGAGTTCAAGACCAGCCTGACCAACATGGAGAAACCCTGTCTATACTAAAAATACAGAATTAGCCTGGGCGTGGTGGTGCACACCTGTAATCTCCAGCTACTCCAGAGGCTGAGGCAGGAGAATCACTTGAACCCGGGAAGGCAGAGGTTGTGGTGAGCCAAGATCACGCCATTGCACTCTAGCCTGGTGACAGATCAAGACTCTGTTTCAAAAAAAAAAAAAAAAATCTTACTAAGAGAACTTAGAAAAGACTTAACGCAAAAGAGATATACTACATTGAAGGATTTGGAGACACAATATTGTTAAAATGTTAATTCTTCTCAGATTGATTTATGGATTCAGTACAATCCCAATAAAAATCCCAACAGTTGAGTAAATGAGTGTGTTTGTTTGTGTGTGTTTATGTAGGTGTGTAATTTAATAAGCTGATTCTAAAATGCAAAGGGGCAAAAACAGCTATGAGGCTCTTGAAGAAGAATAAGGTGGAAAGACTTGTTCTACCAGATCCAAGACTGATTATGAAAGCTGTAATATTTCAGTGTGGCACTGGAACAGGGATAGACAAAAGCAGAATGAA